ATCCCTATACAAAAGCATGGGCCGCGAGGTGGCGCGTCATCATTTTCGGCTCTTTCCCCCCTGAAAATATGACTTGGCCCCCCCCAAGAAAAAAAGCTGGATCCGCTCCTGGTCAAGAGAGTCATCGTCAAGCTCGGATACGCGACGATATAGCGGCGGATCTTATTGCGTGAGGAAATAGAAGACAACTCGTGCTCCCAACCGGAATTCTCACCGTGGGACATTTTTCCATTCCCTGCGTGCCGTCGCTCCGTGTTGTTCCGACCGGAATTCACAGCGAGAGTTTCTGACCAAATGTCCGCGGAACAAAGGCCTGGTTTTCATTGTCAACACGGCAGCAACGGTTAGTGTCGCCATTTCCGTAACAACTTACTAACATTCCTTTCACCACGTCAGTTCCCGACGCCGCGAAGTCCGAAGCATAGACGTAAGTGCACATGGCCAGTCAAGTCATCGGTATGGATCCCGTACACCGACTCTGAACCCACCAGGCAAAACGGGCAAATACGGGAGCGATGAACGTAAGGGGCAAGAAAAGCTATATCCACAGATTTCACTCGAGCTCGCAGTCCAATCGATTCGAGAGTTGCCCAGCGGAAAGTCGAAGCTCGGACTGAGTCAGAAAATGAATTGATTGATTGATTGACCCAATAAGTTGCTATCGCGCTCCGTGGACCGGCCATCGTTCGAATGAGAATCGTCGACCTTTGATCGGTCGAATCTACCATATTGATCCCGAGGGAATCTTGCGCGGTGACGTTGGAATGTTCGCTGCGTGACTGCAGCAGGCTTCCGAAACAAAGAAGAGGAAGAAAATATAGCCGATCCCAGCAAGCCGTCGGCTCTCGTTAATCGTACGGGCACTCCGGCCTCAATCCATTTTCCTCCGGGTACACAATCAGATCTCACTTCACTTTTTGACCCATCTGGAGGGAAATCTCTCATATTGGAATCGTCGCCTCTAGGAGAGCTCCCCGATGCGCTACAGTCCGATGCGTTGTCATCGGAGTTGAGTTCTCCACGCAGGGCAGGTCGTGCTCGGTTCGCCAGCGCGGAGGCGCGGGGCCCGAACTCGGATCAAGAACTTTCTCAGCTACTCGTGAAAGGAGAATTTGGCCATTGTAATCTTGTGGCTACACCAACCCTATGGGACTGAGCGGTTGAGTCATTCATGAAGAGGATATTGTCAGCGAATTCTTTCTTCGTTCGCTCTCGGTGAGCGTTAAGTGTTTCGTCTCGCGGTGGCTTTGCCCGTCGTCGTTGTCACTCGGGACACTCACACAAGAAATGACCACAGAGCAGACCTCGCTTACCTCGGAACGATCACCAATAGATTTTGAGATCTGTCCGTGTGTATTTTTCTGTCCTTTTTTCTCTCGTCTCCGTTTGCTCTGGAGAATTTATTTTCCGTGCTTCGCTCTTTATGGCTTGGTCTGGTCTAGTTGGTCTGGTCGGTCCTACGGTCGGTCGGGCCGCTCGGCGACCCTTCGACTAGCTCGCTTTCGATGGCGAACTTTTGAAAGACGAGACTCCTCAGAGGTAAGGTCCGCGTCGTTTTGAAGAATCGACGCTGCAGCCAGAACCTGTCGCTTGTCTAATCTCCCACGACCATCGCCAGAAGAAGAGTCGGGGCTCGGCCGTTTCAGCTGCTGTAATTCTGGTCGAAGCAATAAAAACTTCTACAGGAGTAAACAACCGGCGACCTTTCAATGACTACCCCTATTTTCCCCTCTCAGGTCATCGGCAGACCGCGTGCTCAAATGTTCCGTCAACGAGGGTTTTCCGTGGTTTGGCAAACTCCTGGTTTCCGCCGTCGTGATTTATCAGATGCCTGGCGGGAGGTCATCAAACGCCCAGTTTCGAGAGATATTAATCTCGTTTTCCATACGAAGAATCGCGGTGATCCGCTCGAATGTCATTGAAGATAATTATCAAACGAGCTGTGAGTGTCCTGAGCGTCATCAAATCGTCCAGGGCTCCCGATTTGCACGGGATTTCCTCAGCCCTATTCAGTTCCGGACCAGACCAAGTCCGAACCTGAGTGACCGGACCCGAAGTTTGGAATGCTCTGGATGGCCGTGATGAATGCAGTACTGAGCGAGCGAGCAAGCCATCCTCGGCTATTCTTGATCCCTGCGGAAGCACATCGTGGCGGGCTATCGGGGCGAGCTTCTGCTCTTCGCTGATATTCAGTCGCATTCCAGAGAACGATCCGGAATCAGTCTGATTCCGAGGAAGCCATCTCGACCCATTTTTCGAGACTGAGTCCTCACTCACAACAGTCGGACCCCCGGGACGGCGGGAGGACTCCTCCAGCAAACGCATCCTCAGCCGCGGAGCGTCGCTTACTATTACCCCTCATTATTGTCTGTGCGCGTTTCGTCCATGTCGGACTCTGGTGGTCGTCGGTGCAATTAAATTGGGATTTGTACGGAGTACGATCCGAAACGGCTCTTTGACCGTAGGAAGTTGACTAGGCGTGCGTTTGTGTGCGACACGATCCGATCATATGTATGAAGAAAAAGCTTTTGTTCTCGGAGGAGGCCTTGCGTGTGGCGTTGTTGACCCAGTGGTCTAGTATTGGAACTGCTCTACCGAGCTGCTCGCGGATGCCGTCGCTGATGCTTCGACCTCGGGCCCAATGGCCAATCCGCAGCTGCGTCAACCGCTCTTTTCGCTGCTGCTGCGGCCGATGCTCGTTTTGACCGCAGACAGCACTGTTACCTCGGCTCCTTATCGGCTTTATCTGCTCGTTCTTCTATTCGCGATAGATGGGAGAGCGGTCGATCTTACAGACGGACGAGGGACTATGTGGGGGAATCAGCTGACTGACCCACCAACAAGTCGGCTGTGCGGCTGGCTTGCTGACTGACTGACTGACAGACAAACTGACGTACAGAATACTATAGACAGAGGAGATCCGATCAAGTGAAAAGGTCCCACTCTCTTTTTCAGCGCACCGACAACTTTCCTCCGCCTATCTCTCGATCGCGAGAACGCGCCGTTCTGGAGGGCGAAGCCGCCCGTTGGTTTCCGTATTGTTCAGCCTGATGTTGTCCGGGGCGTCTGCCGCCGCCGGCGTCGCTACTTTTGGGCTTGTCGCAGTGCAACAGCCCAGCGACGACAACGACAACACCGTCGTCCCACCTATTGTTTCGGACTTGCCGACCACACTGGGAAGAAAATATAGTGAAAAGCCGTTCCTATCTTGTCACGTGATTTCGTCCGAGTTCTCCGCTGGAGAACAAAACGCCATTGCCAACGTGAACACGGGAAGGGCAACCCTCAAGTTTCCCGGAGGACTGACTCAATTCTTGATTAGTATTTGCCCGAGCTGCGAGGAGCGCTCTGTCGGCGACGTTTCAATGATCTTTCGGCTCGAAAAGTGTTTTCAATCGCGGTCGCCGTCCAGACAATGGCGAATGGCTCCCAAATGAAACTTCTCTGCCGTCGGGAATGACGACGAGGACCACCACAATTGCCTCTGTGCTTTCCGACCTGCAACGCCTCACGCCCTGACAGTCCATCCGTCTGTCCGACGGACGGACGGACGGACGGACTGACTGACGGGCTGAGTGACTGAAATCTTCGATAGACGGTCAGTAATTTTCGACTGGCCGGGCCGCAGACGTCATTCCGACCGATTCCACAAGCGGTAACCGTTGTGATCGTATTCAGCGTTAACGACGAGTGAACAGATAGAGACAATCGCATCTCCACCCCGAAGCTTCAGCAGTCGCCTTCCTGTGGGCCGATTTGTTCGTACGTGCGTTCGTCCCTCCTACCGCGCGATCTGTCTTTTGCTCCATAGCGACTGACCAACCTTCTACCAAGAAACTGACTGACTGACTGACTGACCGACCGAGTGTCAATTTACCAACTTGCCCGACGTTCGCTTCACTGAACGGCGTAGTCCTTGTCGTCCTCTTCGAAAGCCAGCCGCGGGAAACCGGTGGATACACCAAGCCGACGACGGGCGCAAGAAGGGAAATCCCTGTTGTTTATCGCCAGTGCATCTGCTGCATACCGAGAGCGTGGGAAAGGCAACGTTGTGGTCACGGGTGACGTCCGTCGTCGCTAGAACAAGGTCTACGAGCAGCCAATTGAGCGCTATCCGAGAACTCATTGGGGTTTCATCGATGGGGAAAGCTCAGAAAACCGATCGGGGATTCGTTCCATGTCCACTCTCGCTCGCGAAACGCAGCTCACTCGAGGGCGGGGGGGAAGGGATGCTAAGCGAAGCGTAAACTGAACGGAACTGCAGCGATGATCTTTGTTACGAAACTGTAGTAAAGTTAGTCGTCTTATTCGCTGTGAACTCGATCTCCTTTCGGTCGACATGTAAATTCCGGCAAGCCGATCGGTTCGACGAAAGTCAAAGGAGCGCAGTTATACGTGCTCATTAGTGAAAGCGCACTGATTGCATACGGGAATACGAGCGAGTTTGACTACACCCAGAACCCATAGGGCCCCGCCTCCGAACCGAGCGTCCGTCCGTCTTTCTGTCGGTCGACCGTTTTTTCGGTGGGTCGGTCTGTCTGCCGGTCGGTCGGTCTGAGTGAGTGAGTGAGTGAGTGAGATTCACGGCACCCACACCTGCTGCTTGGTGTGCTGCTTTGGTGTCTGCTCATTAAATCCAGCTGATCCGACTGCGAGCTCCGCCACCACCGGATCACAGACGTACGCTTTTTCGCGTCTTTCGGAAGAACGCGGACGCCGACGCATGGGGGAAGCAGGGAATTTTTTTTAAATCCACCGAATACCGAGATACAAAGATGGAAGACAAAAATGAAACAATACAGGGCGCTGTCGAAGACCAACCCGATTGTCGTCGTCGCGGCCGTTACCGCTGTGGTCGTCATGATCAAGCAATCGCACACGAGGCGTTCCGCGGCAAGCTTTCGAGCGTGTTGATCAAGCGAAGAAACTTGAGAGAATCTGATGCCCTTCTTGTCCAGATCTCATTCAGATTCAACTTTGATAGCGTCTGACCGAAAGGACTCGCCTTTCTATCCACTCGCACAGACAATGTAGTGGCTCGCTGCGAGCTTTGCTCCCATCTGGCTTGTACATATCCAGGGACGCAGTATTCCGAAGCGAAAAACTCCCTGGAGTTTTCGACGGAGCGATAATCATTTGCCGCGTTCCCATGTTCACAGATAAATCAATTGCGGTGGGAACTCTGAATACGACGCCGCAGATGAGCTGGCATGCTTTCGGCAAAGACGGCGGCGATTCCCCAGTGCCAAGTAAAATGGCAAAGACGGTCCCTCAAAGTTCCCAAGTCCGGTCCGGATCCGTTTCCAGTTTTTTTCTCGTGTCGTGGGTCGCGGTCGGAACGAATAATCGCGAACCGAATAACGCTGTTCCGTTTTGCGAGCCCCCGAAACCTCATCAGAAAGTCTCTCTTGTATACTCCGACTCGTTCCTTAGTGAGAATCGTTTTCGATATCTACTCAGCTCCCGCTTCTTCTAACGACATTTTCGCCTCTCCCTTCGTCCTCGAGAGTTCCCAGCCAGAGGTAGAAGACGACGCGGCGGGCAATATGATAAGCGAAGAAGAATCCTCGGAACTTGCCCTCCCCGCAAGATGCATGAGATCTTGAACAGGTTGATCTTGTACTCGCGAGACTTTCCAACCGCGAGGTGAGACCGGATGTGGAAAAACCGGCCGTCAATGAGCTGCACGTGAATCTCTCCCCTCCGAGTCTCCGACATGGCGCGGATGGAGCGGATCGCGGGTTCGCTTTTTCACAGCTCCGTGCCAGATATAATCTTCGGGTATCCGAGCGTTTTTCACTCAATGACTTGATCAACACCACCTTTCGCTCTACTCAGCCATCGTTCCGCCTCTTATTCTCTCGATTATTCCATTATCGTTGCCGCGAAATGATTGTCATCAGTCAACAGTAATCATAAATGACAATGATTATTGTCATCGGTTCACCATGGAAAATCGGTCAGCTCGCAGTGTACACCGACGTAGGGCAACTTCAGCCGATAAATAATAATTCGAGCTTAGCAGCATCCCATTCCCCGATCGAACCATTGTCTTCGAAAGAAAGATCCAACAGAAGCTCAAGAATACAGTGCCGCCAAGGGCCCTCCTGTTTTTGAGCTAGAGTAGGCTTTCGAAATTACTTGCCCAAACACTCGTTGGTTTAGCCAAGAATTTGGTTTCCGACACGGACATTAAGAAGTATTCTCGTGGGGTTAACGCGCTTTGCAATCATAATTCGTGGGAAGAAAATGTCACACGCACTTGAAGTCGCGCGCCATGAGCCGCAATCAAGATTCGACTCGAGTCCCCACAGGAAGGCATCACGTTGTTGATATCGCCTTTCCAGCGTGACCGTAGTTCACAACGCTGGGCTCGATCAGATAATGAATTGAAAGTACCTGCCTACTCTTCTAATTCCGAGTTGAGAAAGTCCATAGTTCACCGGTTCCCTCTGGCCTGCGGAATCAACGGTGACATGCAAGCGTATTTTTAGAAAGGTTCCCACTCGTAATCAACGGCGATTCTCGACGAACCGCGCGCCTCGCATATCTCTTGCACTAAGCAATCAGAACCCTAGGAAGGAAGATTCCTCCGCGGAGCTCGAAAACTGAAGCCCGCATCAAAGTGGTCGCACGGATCGGGCTAAGGCGATCTTTGCCGAACGGAAGCTTCGAACGTGCTCTCCCTTGTGTTTCTCCATTCTGTTTCACCGAGTCATGCCGAACTGAGACGGCTTGAAAACGCATCAGCGAGGCGCATCGATGACGGGCTCCAGCTCGGAAAGGAGATCCTCACCGCCTCACGGGAAGACGAGGATGCAGGATGGGAGAATCGTTGCTGTCTCGACCCCGGGGAACCGATCGATACGCCACGATCTGGCCCGGGGGGCTCGACGATTTTCCTTTTGTAAATTCTCCTCTTGTATTTAGGTAAGACGAGGTATTCTGAACAGAACAGCCATGGCCGCTCTAATGGCTAGCAAGCAGGGCCTCCTAATGTGACTGTGGGTGGTGCTCACATAGTCAACAAGCCACCTGAGCATGATTTGATCAGCTGTTTCATTTCGAGCAGTGTCCTGCTCGAGGGATGAGGGCGAAGATAATCGCTGCATACGAACCCTTCTCCTTCGACGTCCATATCTCGGGCACAGGTCAACGCGACAGCCGTGCGTCGTCGATTCCTCGGCGTGAAGATTCCAAGTTCGGTTGCACAAACTCCTTAAGAGCGCCGCCGCCGTGGCTACAGCAGCATTCCCCGGCGATAATAACATTGACAGCGACAACAAGCGAGACTACGACGACGACGACGAATATGGCATCATCCACAGCGACAACGACAACAAACTTAGAATCACACCAAGATCAAGCGGCGAACACCTGGTGTGGTTGGGAAACACGTTCGGATATCGCGTGTTTTTTTTTGTCGCTCAACTTCTAAGCGACGAGAGCGTGTGACGCTTTCGATCGCGCTCCCCGGCGCGATCGCCACCGAACTCTTCCGTGGAACATTCTCTGCGAATCTCCGCAATGGGGTCACTTGTCAGAGCGGTGCCTCCGACTCAGAAATTTCGCGAAACTTCGACGCTCCTCCGACGCGCGGCGGCGGAGTCCCCCTCACTATGCGCTCTTCGACATTCGGAGTTATAAACGACCGCCGCTGGTCGTTACTAGCATTCCTGCGATGAGTTCATGAGACGGTAATTTAATGCCCCTAATCGCGTCAACCCCATGGCATTCGCTCGCAGCTGGATGCCAGAATCCGAGGTCCCGGAGTATTATCGACATTGTCGGTTGCGGCAGGCTTTCGATAGGATCGTCTCAATCGTGAGCCAGCTGTCGTTGATTATGTACGCGAAGTCTGCTGTCTGAGCGGGATGAGTGAGGCGAACGTATTTCTTCCTCGCGTCGAAGGCGTTGAATCGGTAGAAAAATGCCCAGGCCCATGAATGAAATTTGTACTCGACTGCTCGGACTGGCTCACTCCTTGAGCCAGCGGCCCAGTAGCCTCGAGCCGGAACGGGTACCGCGTCTGATACGTACACACTTCAAGTAAGAGAAACGCGCATCTCGCTCCCCGATGAACGTGTTTGCGTAACTGGAGCGGGGGGCGAGGCCTCGGTGAGGTTTTCCGAAAGAATTCGCCCAGAGAAAAACCGATGGCGGCCTCCGCGGAGAGTCGAAGGTCTCAGTAAGAGTTCCGCCGAAGAACTCGCTCCACGGAGGCAACACAGTCTTTAATTCCGGCCAGATTCTAGAGGTCGGCTCTGAACGAAGATCAATTGGATCCATTCGGGGGACTCAAAGAGCGCGACTCCACGGAAGTTCCACCACGAAGCGTCGGTCGCTCGAGAATATCGCGTTGGAGACTTTCCCGAAACATTCCTCCGGAACGTCGACGGAATTCGACCGATCCGCAGCGCAAGAATACAGCTCCAGAGACGGAGGCGATCTTTCCGAACTTCGGTCTCACAAGATTCGATTGGGCGTCAGAGTGAGCGTCGATGCCGAGATCCATTCGGCACGGCCGTATCAGAAGTCATCGGGACTTCAATCGAAGAGGATCGAGGCAAGCTTGCCGGGAACCGGTGTTGCTCCGTCGATCTGGCCCTACTGTCCGAGATGTTGTTGATGCTGTTGCCGCCTATCTGTCAGAAGTCAGTCTGTCTTTCGCTGTGCAGGCTGGCAGTCGGACAGTCTGACTGACAGTGCTTTCTCGTCGTCCAGCCTGCGTCTCTGGTTGGCTGCCCGACTGGTTTGGTTCACGACTTAAACCGATTCCAGTTAAATCTGGGTGGCCGGCCGTCGGCTCGCCGACTCGCTCCGCCTGCTTGCCTGCCCATGTATCCGAGGAGCAGCGAGCAGCTGGAGCAAGAAAAGCAAAGAGCAGCAATTTTTCACACGGCGACGATGAAAACGAAGGGAAAAATTATGAAGAAGGGGAAAATATGGACGGCACACGGAGAAAAGAGGGTGTGTGTGTGTCTCCGTAGTATATCTGAGCTTCTATCCAGTGATCGCCTGCTCGCACGACGGCGACCAGCAGTACCGCGAGCGAGCGATTCGGAACAGACGTACTGCCTGGAACGAGAAGAAATCAGCGACGACGCCGACTACGCCTATGAATAACGGTTAATTACGTATTCCAGTCGTCAGAGCAATTCCATAAGTGCTCCTTTTGTCGTGTTCCATTTCATGCGGAGCGGGTGTGCGATTCGGACCCACTCTAAACTGAGATGCATGCGTCCTCATAATACGATAACCCCGCTCTGCGGAACGAGTGCAAAAGAGCGGAAAAGAACATAGAGGCGCATCAGGGGATTAGTGAGTCCTGACTCCAATCAGAGGCAGTTCGAAGTCTCTCCGCCATTGAAACTTCTGCACTGAATCGATGATCCCAACGACGGGCGTGCAGCTGCGAGGAGAATCTTAAAACGACAGAAAAGACGAAAGAGAAGCCCGGCCGCATCCAGAAGCCTATTGGTCGGTTGCCGTCGCGAACTCGAGCGCTTCGACCGAGCGACGTTGAGCAGGAGTTCGCCGCGCAACTCGTCGTTTGAAGCGTCGCCTTTCCCTCCAGATCAAATCACAAATCGCTCGTTGCTATTAAAAATGAGACAGAGATAATAATTTTTCCGCTCTTAGATGGGCTTCCTTTATGCCCTCGTTGCTCCAAAACGTTGTTCGGCATGTCCGAGAACTCGTTCCTTGCGGCTTTCAGCAGTCGTCGATGCTCGGCTCTTGCCTCCAGCTTTGCTGCTTGTGCTGACGTCGGCGTCGCGTCGATGGCGATGTTTGTGTCTTGACCTCAGGACGCTCCAGAATCCGTAGCCCCCACGACTAACCATCGAGCCATCGACAAACAATGACGCCCAATTATATTGTCAATTATTTCCTTTGTATCAGCCAATGCTCTCCTCATCCATTATTGCTGACGTCGTCTCGGTGGACGTTGCTGCTGCTGCTGTTGTTGTTGTGACCGGTCGGTTTTGTACTTATCAAGTGATTTTTAACGGTGAGCAAACTCGTCTGACAACGCCGCGCTTGTTCTTTCCCGTCCCTTCTTCTCTGGCCTATTCATTATCATCATCATTATCATTGTCGCCATCATTATCCTTATTCATCACCGAGATCATTGCCCATCACCAGCGCCATCAATTTACTCTCCTCCGAGCACTCAACGTTGGACAGCGAGACGACATGTATTTTGAATCAAGGGCTTACGTTGATAGGGAGCGTATTGGTTGCAAGTGGAGCTCATCTTTCCCGATCTCCTGACTGACCGACCTGGATTATGATCGGCGTGTACTGACTTACTTCCTTCCTTCAGGCTCAACAAACGTAAAGGATCGCACGAAATATTGTACATCGGAATGCAGCGCGGCGCTCCGAGCTCAGACACAACGACGATCATTCAAACAATCCTATAAATGGTCACCGCGTCAACGAGTTTTTTCCTTTCATCCCGAATTTTCGGCCCCGATCCACGGTTGCATCTCAACCTCTCTGACTTCAAAATTGAAAAATGTTTCCGTCTCCGGCAGCCTGCCGGCGTAGACTTCAAACTCTTCATACGCCACTTGATGTCAGCGGCGAGTGAATGAGTGGTGAATCAAAGCGTTTCAAATTCTGATCGAGGGTGTTTGCTTCAACGACTCCTCGCTTCGGAATCGCGATTCATTCCGAAACCGATCTTCGATGGGTTCTCGATGAAAGTTCAGAACAAAAAATTCAGTGCAGGTTTAGCTTGATGCCAAACCTGTGGGTTGCGTAGAACTACGTCAACGTGCTCAAGGGGACTTATCGCGAGATCGCGATGAAGTCAATGAAACAAATCGAGGGAAGATTTATTGTTTCAGTCTATGATTATGAAATCGAGATTCAGATGGCTGAAGTGTGGCTTAAAGATATAGTTTCGCGATGAATTCCGATCCTGGATTCTGATTTGGGGTCCTCATAGATAAGTTTCAACCGACAAAGTCCCGATCCAGGAGATAAAGTCTGGCCGCACTCTTCCGGAGCCGATGAGGTTCGATTCCTGGTGAAAATCTTGGATCCCCAACGATATGCTCCTGTTATCTCAAGTCTCGACACGGAGGATGAAGTTCGGACGCACTCTCATGAAGCCAATGAAATTCGGTCCCGCATGAGAATCCCGGGTCCTCAACGATATCTTTCTATTTTCATGAAGTCCCGATCCAAACGATCGAGTAGTCGAGCGGAGCCGTAATTTGATGTATGAATTTTATCGCAGTAAGTTTCAAATTCGGATGAGAGTCCCGTGCGCTCATTCAGCGAACGAGGAATATAGCTCCTTGCTCAAAACCTCCAAAGTTCCTCGGTCCTCACTGATGAGGGAATAAGGGATGAAAGTATAAGCCGATGGTGAAAAGGGAAAGTCGAATATTGCAAGCCGTTGGCTGTATCGGATCATATTCTGCGTCCGGATTCGCCGTGGCTGAGATTCAGTTTTCCGGCTTTGAGCATCCGAGACGGTTCTGGAGCCGAATCCTGTCTATATGGTTTCCATTATCTAAATGATTCAGTTCGGCGTGAGGTGACCACGGCGGCGGCGCGTATGCAAATGTATATGTGTCGGGCGCCCTGATAATTCGACTCGCCTCCGGAGTTGCGTGGGAGACGATGTGCTGATACCCCAATACAATACCTGATATTCCGCCGCTTTCGTACCACGATCGTCAGCTCACTCAGTGGCGCAATGCGCGATCGTTCGCTCCCCGGCACCCTTGAGTACCACAATCCATCATCACGCACCACGTTTGGTTTCAATGTTCCATGATTCTTAATAACTGAGGTGATTTGAAGGTTCCAGAGGTAGTTTCCTGGACACGTAGTCGCGGGGAATTCAATAGCCTCTCTGACAGTTTTCCCTTGCCAGATGTCGCCTGGAAAGCCTCCCGCGATTTCGAAACCCTCAATCCGAAACCATTCGTGCATCCGTAACCAGATCCGTCACATTTTTTTGGACAGCGTCCATAATGACGTAGTTCTACGTCAAAACTGATCCTCCGCGAAGGGAAAGAGGAGAGACTTTTTTGCTGTTTGAGGGAGAATCCATCGAGCTCGGTGAACGTTTCGAGTGCATCTCCAGTAATTATACTCAACCACCGCAAGGTGGCGATTTTTGTTCCGATGCATTTCCCTCAGATGGCGTCCTTTGCTGTAACATCTCATCTGGGGCTCGACGTCCGACTCGGGGAGCAGCTTGACCATCCTTC